TCATCAAAACTGCATGGTATTGGAACAAGAACAGACATACAGACCAATGGAATCGAATAGAAAATCCAGAAATAAACCCACAGATTTATGGTCAACTAATCTTTGACAAAGGAGCAAAGACTATGCATTGGAGCAAAGAAAGTTTGTTCAATAAATGGTGCTGGGAAAACTGGGTCGCTACATGCAAAAGAATGAAGCTTGACCACTACCTCACACCATACACAAAAATCAACTCAAAATGGATTAAAGAACTAGACATAAGACCTGAAACCATAAAATACATAGAAGGAAATATAGGCGAAACACTACGGGACTTGCACATTAAAGACATCTTTACAGACACACTACCCAAAGCAGTGATAGTGAAGGCAAAGATAAACAGCTGGGACTACATCAAATTAAAGAGCTTCTGCACAGCAAAAGAGACAATCACAAAAACAAAGAGAAACCCCACCAACTGGGAGAACATTTTTGCACCCAACACTAATAATAAAGGACTGATCACAAAAATCTGCAAAGAGCTGATGAAAATAATCCAGTCAAAAAATGGGCAGAAGAGCTAAAAAGAAACTTCTTTGAAGAGGAAATGCAAATGGCCAACAGACATATGAAAAAATGTTCAACATCACTTGTAATCAGGGAAATGCAAATCAAAACTACCATGAGATACCATCTTACACCAGTGAGAATGGCACATATTAAAAAAACTAGCAACAACAAATGTTGGCGAGGGTGTGGAGAAAAAGGAACTCTTCTGCACTGTTGGTGGGAGTGCAAACTGGTACAACCACTGTGGAGAGCTGTGTGGAGATTTCTGGACCTACTAAACATAGAGCTTCCATATGATCCAGCAATTCCACTCCTAGGTATTTACCCAAAGGACACAGAAACATCAATTCCAAAGAACACCTGCACGCCTATGTTTATAGCAGCACTATTTACAATAGCTAAGCTTTGGAAACAGCCCAAATGCCCAAAAATAGATGAATGGATCAAGAAGATGTGGTACATAAATACCATGGAATATTACTCAGCATTCAAAAAAGATAAACACATGCAATTTGCAGCAACATGGATGACGCTGGAAGGGATCATGCTCAGCGAAATAAGCCAAAAAGAAAAAGAAAAATACCGGATGGTCTCACTCATAGCAGGAATCTAGAAAACTTAAATAAGGGACCAGGAAAGTGAATATAAGAAAGTGAAAATCAAAATCAACAAAAAACTATGAACCAGAGATTCTTTTTGTGGGGTGGGGGGGGGAGGGGAGGGATTGGGGTCAGAATGGGGGGTTTGCAATTGTATGGGGGAATATAAAAAATAAAATTTATTATTTAAAAAAAAGAAATTGTATGGGGAATATAAAAATAAAATTTATTATTAAAAAATAAGTTACAATAAATTAATAAATACTTAAAAAAAAGAAATTCCAGCTTATTTATTGATTTGTAACATGTAACATTTGACAATGTCCCCAGGGAATAACCTTCCTGGGTGTAGGGAGATGACAGTGTCATCACACCTTTTATGAAGTGGGTCACTTGCATAGTCACTACTAGAGTATATCAGACCTGCTGTCATACTGAGGCTTCCCCATGAACAAAGTACGAGAAGTGGTCATTGCCAGACCAGTACAGAAGACGGAGCTCACGCCTGACAGCAGGCACCACCTGAATCCTGTATTTGTGTTTCCTTGTTATGGTGCTGAGCCTTGGTATTATTAAACACAATGAGTTTTCTTTTTTTTTTTTTTAGATTTATTTATTTATTTATACAAGCACTGGGTACAGTCAGAAGTGCAGGAGGGTGAGAGAATTCACCAGAGACAGAGTGGGGAACAGAACAGGCAGACTGACGAAGTACACTGCTGAGGGGAGCAGCAGACGCAGCAGGAGAGGTCTGTGCACCGTGTTGGACCCTCTCTCACCGGTCGGGGATCAAATCGGCACCGCAGAGGCTGAGGACAGCCTCACAGTGCTGTGCTCAACCACTGCACCACCGGGGAGGCCCACAATAAGTTTTTCTTAATGAACGTGGTGGGTTAAAGCAAAAGGATATAACCTGGTCCCCTCAATCATTTCCTTTCTCTCCACCTTTTTAAAAATTATTGTTGAGACAATATAAGTTACAGGTTCACTGACTGGAAAGACACAGTTGCCTCATAGGTCAACCCCTGGTATTTACACAGGAGATTGGTTTGTCTTGGTCTCTCACCATGACCATCACTCAGCAGGGCCCTCAATGGGGAGTTTATATTGCTGCCATTGCTATGTCTCCCTGCTGGATATAGTTTATTTTCCCTCATTAAAAATATTTAATAATTGGGCAACAATCTGCTCAGCCTTTGTAGCCTCTCCATGGAATAACATTTCATTTTTTACCACTTTCTTCTGTCACCTTCTTCACATAACTGTGGACCTTTCCCTTAGAAGAAGGATTTTTGAATGCGCCTCCAATTCTATTCCACAATGTAAAATATTGTCCACAGTTGTAGTCAAAGAGGTGAAGGTGTGTATGGTGAGCTGAGCCATTAATAAATGGCCTTAAGATTTAAAGATACAAAAATCACCACCATGAATGGAAACTGTCCAGATATTGACCAAGACGTACAACCTAAATAAGCCAGTGTGTGGACCATACACTAATAATGAGTTGAATCCAGCCATTTGGAAATTCTCGCATGTTGTCATATAATTTGCTGGATCCAGCTCGAGTAGGCACAGTGAAATGTTAAGAATACTTAATCCATGGTAATGACGTAACAGTAAACAATTTCTTGCAAGCTTGATTCTTTAAAAATTGTGGAGGGCCTCCCCTGGTGGCGCAGGCGGTTAAGCGCAGCTCTGTGAGGCTGTCCTCAGCCTCCACAGCACCTATTCCATCCTGGCCTGCCAGCAAGGGTCCCACATATTGCCAGAGACCTCTCCTGTCTCGCCTGCTGCTCCCCTCAGCGGTGTATTTCATCAGTCTGCCTGTTCTGTTCCCTGCTCTGTCTCTGGTGAGTCCTCTCACCCTCCGACACATCTAGCCTATACCCCAGTTCTTGTATAAATAAATAAATCTTTTTAAAAATAAAATAAAAAAAATAAAAATCGTGGGTCTTGGGCCTCTCTGGTGACCTAGAGGTTAAGTCTCAGCACTATCACCGAGAACACCCGCTGCAAAGCCTGAGTGGATCCCCAGCAAGGGAGCTAGCCCACATGGTGCAGCAGACCATTCCTGTTTCTCGCCTACTACTCCCTTTAGCACTGTATTTCAGTAGATCCACCTGTTCTGCTCCCCACTGTCTCTGGTGAATCCTCTCACCCCCTCCCCGGCCCACTCCTCTGGCTTTCACCCCAGTTCTTCTACACAAAAATTTTTAAAAAATCTTTTAAAAAATTGTGGATATTTCATTAGTGAGTTATAAATAACAACTCAGTGTTGCAAAGAGAAAATAAAGGATAAAAGCACCAAGATTTGTTACTATCAGGAGAATAACAGTTTGGATGTGGTGGATATATAAGTGGTGTAAAAAAATAATCTGCAGCATCGAGTACAAGATCCATCTCAGACCCAGCAAACAGCAGAGGTTGGGGACCCAATGGTGGTGGAGGTGCAGAAGACACAATGGGGGACTCTCTGAGAAATCAGGTCAGAAATCCGCAGAGTCAGGCCTTGTCATCAAACGAGTTTGATGCCAAACTAGAGAGGGTCAGCCCACCATCCATTGCTGCCAGGCTAGGAAGCCTGGGCTGCTCGCAGCCCTGGTCAGCAATAGGCACAGCCTGTTAGGGCTCAGGGTTTAGTTTTGAAGTTTGGCTTAATCTGGCCCTTCATCTACTTTCTGTACATGCATATATAAGTATTTCTCTTTTTCCTTTTGACTTATCCCTCTTCCATCCATGTTGCCACAGTGGCATGAGTTATGTTTTCTGACCGTGGATGCTATTTCATTATACAGGGACATACATCACCTGTATATGTACATATATGTATACATGTAATCCCAGCTTCCACTTGATTTGTCACCTGTCTGTGGCATTTAGGTGGTTTCCATAGCTTGGCTACTGTAAATAGTGCTGCAGTGGTGACGGGAGTGCAGGTTTCCATTCAAAGTACAGTATTTTTCCCATGAGTAGATACCGCATTGTGGAATTGCTGGGTCCAATGGCAGAACCACATTTACTCTTTTATTAAAAAAAATTTATTTATTTATACAAGATTGGGGTATAGGCCAGAGGTGAGGGAGGGTGAGAGGATTCACCAGAGACAGAGCAGGGAGCAGAACAGGCAGATGTATGGAAAGCACTGCTGAGAAGAGGGCTGTCGTACCATGTGGGTATCTCCCTGGCTGGCCAGGAATCAAACCCGCACTGCAGAGGCTGCTGACAGCTTCACAGCACTGCGCTCAACCTGCTGCACCACCGGGGAGGCTCCACATTTACTCTTTTAAGAAACCTCAATACTGTTTCCATAAGGGCCAATTCAGTCTATATCCAAAAGCAATGCAGGACTGTCCCCTTTTTTCCATATCCTTGCCAGCACTTGAGTTTCTGGTCTTTTGGATATGGGCCATTCTCGCAGGTGTGAAATGATTTATATCAGCATCATAAAGCCACAAAATGTGGGCAAAAGGAAATCCTGTAACACTCAGGCAAATACAAGGCTATCTCACACCATGAAAGAAAATAATCATGAAGAAATTCAGGTGAATTACCTGAGTGTTAACATTATCAATGGTCCACTGCATTCTCAAGATGTCCTCCTGAAAGCATCTCCATCACCTAGTCCCAGCCTCTCTGCCTCAAACCCCAGCAACCACTGCATCCTCCAGGGTCTCACCTTTACGGTCTTACTTACACTTCAGAGCCCTGGGCACTGCCGCTGCCCAGGGGCGAACACAACAAAATTTGGTCAGAGATGAGGCCACAGGAGGAATTGATGAGGGTGACTCCCCGATGGGCTCCAGCTACACTGTCCCCAGGGGCTCAGGGATCCAATTTGGGATCCACACTTACCTGGAGCCAGAGTGTAGCTTGTCCTTGTCCACCTGTGGGAAGACACATCATGTAAGGCCAGGGAGCAGTCAGGTCAGAAGACCTAAAGGAATGTTTTAATCCAATAGCACAGGGAAGTTTCCAGAACTGTGAGTAAAGACCCAGGTCAGAACTGGGGAAAATGAAGAAAGGACATGAGGGGGAACTGGGCCTAATGCCCTCTGGGCAACACACGTGTGTGGATGGTACTTCCCATTAACCAGGTAGGGCAAGTTCTCCCTGGGACATGAAAACCCCCAGTGGACAAGATCCCCCACTCCCTTCCCCACCTGAGCACTTCCTCCTCCACATCACAGCTGCAGCCACCGCAGCTCCAGTGAGCACAGCTCCAAGGAGAACCAGGCCAGCAATGATGCCCGCAGTGGGAATGGAGGAATGAGGAGGGGGCACTGGAAGGGAAGAGGAGATGCTGAGCCTCAGGCCTCATCCTGACCCTCTGAAGATCTCCAGAAGGGCTCCTGATTGCTCTGAGCAGAAGCGCAGTGCCCCATGTCCCCTCCTCACCCAATCTCAGAACTTGGGGCTCCAGCAGCCCTTCATGTTGCACGTGGCATGTGTATCTCTGCTCCTCTCCAGAAGGTACCTCCACAGCTGCCCACTTCTGGAAGGTTCCGTCCCCCCCAGGCCTGGTCTCCACCAGCTCTGTGCCCTGGGTCAGGTTCTCCCCATCTCGCTGCCAGGTCAGAGTAATGTCCGCAGGGTAGAAGTCCAGGGCCCAGCACCTCAGGGTGACCTCATGGTCAGAGGTGAGGTGGAGGGTCATGTTTGTTTTTGGGGATCTGAAGAGAAGAGACAAAAAATTCACACTTTGGGATTTTCCTTCCTGGACACTGAAGAAGCCTCACTCACCATCCCCAGAATGGACACGACAATTGGTTTGGAGGGAAGAAGCACAAAACCCAGAAACCAGCCTTGTCTGGAGAATCTGGGATAATCAGGTGAGAGTCCAGGGTAGGAGGATGCAGGTCTCTAAGGAGAACACAGACTTTTGCTCCTGACCTGGGTGGAGGGTGAATGACACAGAAAGGCAGGAGTCAGGTCTCCAAAAATGTTCTGAGACCAAAAACTAGACCTTGAAAGAGAAACTGATGGTTCCCAGGATGGGTCCCAGGTCAAAAGGATCTGGTGAAGGGAGATTTCAGGGCTGGTCTCCCCTCAGGCTCAGGAGACACTAGATTCCTTAACTGCTCTGAGGAAAAGTGGGGTCCTCTGGGGAGTCAGGAAACCCAGGGGGCTCCTCCTCCTCCCCTGACCAGAGAGGGGGCGTTGCTGTGACCCTGACTCCACCCTCCCCGTGGGCGCCTGCCTGAGGAGGTGGGGAGACCTCGCGGCCCTCTTACCTGAGCGCTGCAGCTTCTCCTTCCCGCGCTCCAGGTACCTGCGCAGCCACTGCACACACCTGCCCTCCAGGTAGTTCCTATGGTGCTCAGTCACTCCGGCCGCCTCCCACTCGCGCCGGGTGATCTGAGCGGCCGTGTCCGCCGCGGTCCAGGAGCGCAGGTCCCCGTTCAGGGCCAGGTAATTGGCGCCGTCGTAGGCGAACTGACGGTACGCGCTGAGGAGGCGCCCGTCGGGCCCCACGTCGCAGCCGTACATGTTCTGGAGGGTGTGAGAGCCGCTCCCCGCCCCGTCACCCCGCGGTCACCCCGCGGTCACCCCGCCCGCCCCCGCCGGTAATCAACCGAAACTGACGCGGGAAACTCGCGGGGAACGTCCCGGGGCGCGTCCCGGGTCGAGGGTCCGGCGGGTCCCCCTGCCTCGGGGGACGCTCGGGCCCGGGGTCTGGGGTCCCCGCCCGCCCGCGGGGGTGGGGTCGTGAGCGCCCCGGGCCCGCCCCGCTCACCCGCCGCGCTCTGGTTGTAGTAGCGGCGCAGGGCGCGCAGGTTCTCTCGGAACGTCTGTGCGGTGGCCTTCGCGCTCGGCATCTCCCCCTCCCAGTACTCCGGCCCCTCCTGCTCCATCCAGGGCGCCCGCGGCTCCATCCTCTGGCCCGGGGAGTCGCTGTCGAACCGCACGAACTGCGTGTCGTCCACGTACCCCACGGCGATGAAGCGGGGCTCCCCGGGGCCGGGCCGGGACATCGCGGTGGAGAAAAGCCTCAGGGAGTGGGAGCCTGGGGGCGGGCGGGAGACCCGGGCTGGGGAGACGGGGCGGGAGGGGAGGGGGCGAGGGGGCTCCTGAGATTGAAATGGGGCATCGGAGGAGAAGGCTGGAGACTCAGAGGGGCAAGAGGAGGAGGGAGGCGGGGAGGGACAGAAAGGGGTCAGGGCAGGGGGGGTCACGGGGGACAGCAGGGTCAGCAGTGGGGGAGACTCGCCATTCCTGGGGCCCCCCGTCAGGGTTCCTCTAGTTCCCCCCTCCTCAGTGGCCTTTTCCCTTCCAAGCCAGCACTTACCTGCCCAGGGCTCTGCCAGGGCCCGGGCCAGTAAAAGCAGCAGCAGGAGAGTTGGGGGCGTCACCTGTGCCCTAGAGGGAGCTGAGCATTTGAATCTTCGCGGGTCTAGTGGAGACTTTCTTAACTGGGAGCCAGGGTGATGCTGATTGGCTGCTCAGGAAACCTCCAGGCAATGAGGAGTGAGAACTGGGGTGAGTCACCAGTATCCAGGCAGGAGGACCCGACACAGCTTGTGAGAGAGAGAAGAGAAACGCTGGCGGGATGGGGAATCCCCAACAGTGACCTTCCCTGCCCCAGACACAGCCCCGGGTGCTGAGACCCTGAGACCCACACCCGACACCTGGGACTTTGCCGCCCGCCCCCTCCTCTCCTGCTCCAAGACCTTTGTCACACTGTGTCCCTTACACAGGCCCAGGGACTGGGTCAGCGATTTTCAAACTTTGTCGTTTCGTTCAGGATCTCCGCACACTTTTACAAATTAGTGAGGACCCCAGTATAATTTTAGGAGGTTATAGCTCTCAATATTTACTACATGAGGAATAAAAACACTTTAAAGATATTTTTGTTTCATTTAGAATAATATTAATAACCCAATGTGCGTTCAAAGTGTCTTAAACAAACATGGATATTTAATGAAAATAATCAGGGTCATGCGTGGATATTTTACAGCTTACATTTTTACAATTATTTTTCTTCTCTGTCTCACTAGAGGAATGTTGGATAGTCATATTTTCTCCTGCATCTACTCTTCGTTTTGGTTGGTCAATGAAAAGCTATACAGCCTCTCTGAAATATGTGAGAATAGCATTTTAAGTACCTTTCAGATAACTGTGAATATTGAACTTTGTTCCACTTCTACAATAAATTGAAATTATACAAGTGGTGGTTTCTCAAATGTTATTTGCAAAGTGAGTGGTAGAACAATATCATTGAATGTTCTTTATTCTGTTACATTAATTCCATAGGCCTCTATTGATTATTAATCTTGAACTAATACATGATTTTTTTTTTACTAATATATGATTTTAAAAAGTGATGCATTGTTTTACCAGGTTATATGATCTTTATGTTAATTATTCTACAATCAAATTTTGAAAATCATACATGTTTCACATTCCAAAGATCCCCAAAGAAAAGTAAATGGCTACTGGAAATTGTCAAGTTTATAGCGATGGGACACAATTTGTCATTGTCTGCTTTTCACTTGGCGCTTGTACTTTATCAAGGAAGTTAATTATTATCATTTATCAAGTATCAGTTGACTTTTTTAAAAAATTTTATTTATGTATGCATATAAGAACTGGGTTATAGGACAAAGGTGTGTGTGGGGTGGGGCCAGTGAGAGGATTCACCGGAGACAGAGTGGGGAACAGAATGGGCAGATCTGTGCCCACATTCCCTCCTTACCCCAAGTCAGGACTTGGGGCTCCAGCAGCCCCTCATGCTGCACATGGCATGTGTATCTCTGCTCCTCTCCAGAACGCACCTCCACAGCCGCCCACTTCTGGAAGGTTCCATCCCCCAGGCCTGGTCTCCATCAGCTCCTTGTCCTGGGTCAGGTCCTCCCAAAGACCTCAAGTGGAAGAGGAGACGGCCTGCAAGGATCAGCCCACGACCTCTGCGGCAGCAGAATCGTCGGGGAAGAAGCTTGCCCAGTGCTCATGCAGGAGAATACTGATGGACTTGGACTGACAATCCCTCCAGAAGGTGGAGGAACTTTGGCAGGGTAATGATCTGTTTGGGACACCCTGGGGGAGGATGGTATGGTTTGTACACCCCAATCTGGGGTGTACATCAAGGCCAGTGGGTCTTGATGGCAAAAAGCAGCCTGTGTACTGCCCAGCAGCTAAGCAGAGGGAAAAAGTCAATTTAGAAAGATAAAAGCTGGTGCTGATATTGGGAAGCCCTGAGCGGCTGCTAAGCAGCCTAAGTATTTTGAAAAAGGCCAGTAAGTCTCCTAAAATCACCTGTGGGTGATGCCTTGCTCATTGTTACGTGAGGGTGAGGAGCTGAGCAGCCCGTCCTTGGGGGACGGTGGGGAACATGGCTTGTGGTGGAGCCCACAGCCAAAGAGGGGACCCAAGAGAGTCGGCATGTGGAGCTTGTGTCCACGAATCCCCGACCCATGTGCTTGTGCAATGGGTTGATCTGAGTGCAGGGCCTGCGTGTCACATTGGTGGCTATGAAAGCCGAGTGTTGGAGCGACTGCAGACAGAAAACCCTGAGGATTGGGCAGTTACCCCCAAAGTACAGAATTGCCAATCCAAGAGTGAGTACATCCTGGGGGTAGATGCGGTGTGAGGCTTGTGGCAGAGACCACAGCCAGATAGTCCCTCCCTTGCATGAGCAGTGCCTTCACAGCAGACATGGTGGATCATCTGCTGGTGCCAACAATTGTCTTTTGCCACTAGGTTGGTACCCTGTCTGGAATTATTTGTGTTCTGTTGTATTTTTTATTTTCTATTGTGGGCCATGGCTGCAGTGTATATATTTGTTAAGTGAAAATTGTATATATGTAGATTGTATGGCAGAAAACCCTGAGGGGGTGCATTGTAGGGTAAATGGTTTTTCAGACTTTTCTCCCCTCCAACCATTAGGATTGCCCAGCCTGATGGAGCACCCGCAGTTATTTCATTGTTGTGTTGTTTACTTCTGTGGGCAATGGGAGGGGTATTGAGAGAGTCACCAAGAGAAGGAGAAGCAAAAGAGAGGCAGGAGAGATAAGGGGAGAAAAGGAGGCCAGAGAAACCCAGAGTGAAGCCTGTCGGCCTCCTAGCCCCCTGGCACTCCTGCCTGCCAATGTACCTGGTTGCTGAGATGCATGTGAAGCTCAATAAAAGCCTGAGAAAGCCACTGAGGGCTCCAGGACTCTCCTTTACCTGTCTGCCGGATCATAGGAAACCTGCTCAGTTGTCCCGACCCGCGGGATTCGGAGGCACGAAAAGAGAAGGGCTGAGGATTGAAATGAGGGGCTTGACAACTTGACGCTAGCGTTTGCTTCTTTATTTTTCCTTTTCCTTCACTTTTACATGTTTTTTCCTTTCCCTGTCCTACTACCTTCCCTGGCCTTCTCTATGCTCCTCTCTCAGTACGTTTCTCAGTCTCCTCTCTCAAAGTCTCTACACAGTATCCTTTCCACAGTCTCCCTCTCCAGGTCTCCTCGCCTCATCCTCCATGCAGTCTCCCTCCTTCTCCTCCACACAGTCTCCCTCCTTCTCCTCCACACAGTCTCTCCCGAGGTTCCCTTCTTATCCCCCCTCGCTCCTCTCTCGTACCTCTCAGTCCCACGTGATTTTTTCGAAGCGCAGTGGTTTCTCCGAAGGCTAAAACGAAACCGAAACCTAACTTCGGAGCATGCGCAACACGGCGCATGCTCCATGCGGCTCCGGACACTCAGTGGCCCTGTCCTGCCACTACATCGTAGTTCTGCTGGCGTCCCCATGACACCGCCCTTATAAGCTCAGTCTCTCAGCCTAGGTGTACCCAATTATGTATGCCCGCACCCCACTCCAGGTACCCACCATTAGACATGCATTCAGGACCTCAGGGATCCATCATCAATCCCAATGGCGGGAGGGCAGAAAAACCTGATATCATTTCCTTACCCTACACACACTAAAGGAATTAAAAGAAACTGGAGATAAATTTACATCTGAAAGAAGTAAATGGCACCAGGTAGTTTTCCTGTTTTGATAAAGTCTTCTGTTTGAAAGTCTTCTAGGCCCTAGTCATAGATTTGTTGGTGATTAAAATTCTAATGGAATATAATTTTATATAGAATATAGTCTTATTAGTTCAGAGAGTCATAGGATACAGTGTAGGGAGACCACGCAGCTGCAATGTGAACAGGGAAATTCTGAGAAGGGAAAGTTTTGGGCAGAGTGGGGAGAGGGGCATTCTGTAGATGTGCTGGCTAGAAACCTCTGGCTGGCCCAGCATGTGTGCTTCTCAATGTGCAGGCAAATGTGATGCTTCTAGAATTTTTGTGGAATTCCTGCAAATATTTGCTTTATGTTTAGATATCATTATAAAATGTTTAGATAGAATGATATGTTAGATGGAATCACTTTTAACTTGGTGAGCTTTAGTACTCTGTAGTGCATTAACAGATTTTTGTTTCGTTATTATCATCGTTGTTCATAAAGATGTCCATTTTATAAAAAGAAACTCTATAAAAAGTCTCTAGCATCAGGGCCTCCCTGGTGATGCAGGGGTTAAGTCTCAGCATTCTCAAGCTATTGCCAGCCACTGTGGCCTGCATTTGATCCCCAGCCAAGGAGCTAACCCACACTGCAGACCTCTTCTGTCTTACCCTCTGCTCCCCTCAACAGTGTTTTAGTAGATCTGCCTGTTCTGCTCCCCACTCTGTCTCTGATGAATCCTCTTGTATGTATAAATTATATGTATAAATATATAAAAATAAATCTTTAAAAAATATCTCCAGCATGTTTGCAGCTGTCAGCTGACTGTGTTAGGGGAGGTATATTCCCTGCCCCATTTACATACCACCTTGGACTAGGGACCTGGAACGAGGTATGTTGCTGAGGTCATGTGAAGCTATGTAACCCGGACAACCAGGGGGAAGAGGGAAGTTGAATACTTTCTTCTCCAGCTTTGACTTGCACCCAGGACTTGGGGTGACTTGGGGAAGATGCGTGGAGGAGAGACATGTTAGAGACACTTGGAAGAGACAAAGGGATGACAGAACATGGGTATGTTGACAATAGCAGCCATTATCTTGATTCATTTTTTTTTTTATAGAGGCATGTTTTATTTATTTATTTGTTTGTTTGTTTGTTTTTTGTTTATACATGCACTGGGTACAGTCAGAGGCACGGGAGGGTGAGAGAATTCACCAGACCCAGAGCGGGGAGCAGAGCAGGCAGAAGGACTGAAGCACACTGCTGAGGGGAGCAGCGGGCGGCAGGAGAGGACTGCGCGCCATGTGGGACCCTCCTCTGGTGGCCGGGGAGCAGCCGGGGATCGAACAGGCGCTGCAGAGGCTGCGGGCAGCTTCGCAACCTAGCGCTCAACCGCTGTGCCACCAGGCAGGCCCTTGATTCATATTTTTATACCTCTCCTTTTGTCCCAGACTGGCCTGGCCGATTTGCCCCTTCTTACTATTCCTTGCCAAAAGGTACCATAGACTTGTGGCAAGCTTTCAGCAGCCCCACTTAGGCCCACCCTATTGGTTGGGCATTTGCCCATGAGGAAATAGGTACTTCAGGGTATTTAATTGGGAAACTTTTATTAGCAATATCCTTTTCTCTCTTCTTTCTCTATGCACACTAACTAAAGATCTTTCACACTAAGAATCTGCTTTCTTTTTTAGGTGGTGGATGGCAGTACCCTGTTTTAGAGAGTGCACCCTTGTGGGTTCAGATCTCTGGTGCCCCTTGATCACAGGCTAACAACTGCAGAGTTGTGTTACATAAAAAGATGGAAAATATTTTATGTTTATTATAAATATTTACTTGAGGAAGCAAGGAATTTGGCAAGCAAACTTGATATTTAAATGACATTTCCTGTGGCATTCCACAAGGGCTCAATAGATAATCTAGAAACTCAATTAACCATTGCAAATTGCTATCAAGAAATACTTAGTGTGGGCCTCCCCAGTGGCGCAGCGGTAGAGCGCTGGGTTGCAAAGCTGCCCGCGGCCTCTACGGCGCCGGTTCGATCCCCAGCTGCTCCCCGGCCACCGGAGGCGGGTCCCACATGGCGCGCAGACCTCTCCTGCCGCCCGCTGCTCCCCTCAGCAGTGTACTTCGGTCCTTCTGCCTGCTCTGCTCCCCGCTCTGGCTCTGGTGAATTCTCTCACCCTCCCGCGCTTCTGACTGTACCCAGTGCTTGTATAAACAAAAAAAAAAAAAAAAACAAATAAATAAAAAAAAAAAAAGGAATACTTAGTGTTCCAGCGATGAAGCACATTATTTAGGACTTGAAGGCTATTTTCTCAGAACAGTACCACACAGTTCTAAAATGCTCATCTCTTAATATACATAGAGAACCCCAAAAACACCACAGAAAAACTAATTCAACTAATCAATCAGTTCAGTAACGTGGCAGGATACAAAATCAACATGCAAAAGTCAGTAGCCTTCCTATACACAAACAATAAATCTGAAGAAGAAGAAATTTTTAAAAAAAATCCCTTTTATTATTGAAACAAAAAAATCAAATACTTGGGAATAAATCTAACAAAAGAGGTAAAGGACCTATACAAAGAAAACTTAAAAACACTGTTAAAGAAATAGAAGAAGACACAAAGAAATGGAAAGACATTCCCTGCTCATGGATTGGAAGAATAGACATTATTAAAATGGCCATCCTACCAAAAGCAATATACAGATTCAATGCTATCCCAATCAAAATTGCAATGTCATTCTTAAAAGAAATAGATCAATTATTGATGAAATTCATATGGAATCACCAAAAACCCCAAATAGCCAAAGCTCTACTGAAAAAAAAAAGAAGGGAATGAAGGCATCACACTCCCAGACTTCAAACTATACTACAAAGCCATAATCATCAAAACTGCATGGTATTGGAACAAGAACAGACACACAGACCAATGGAATCAAATAGAAAATCCAGAAATAAACCCACAGATTTATGGTCAACTAATCTTCGACAAAGGAGCAAAGAATATGCATTGGAGCAAAGAAAGTTTGTTAGATAAATGGTGCTGAGAAAACTGGGTTGCTACATGCAAAAGAATGAAGCTTGACTACTACTTAACACCACGCACAAAAACCAACTCAAAATGGATTAAAGAACTAGACATAAGACCTGAAACCATAGAATACATAGAAGGAAATATAGGTGAAACACTCCATGATATGCACATCAAAGACATATTTACAGACACATCACCCAAAGCAGTGATAGTGAAGGCAAAGATCAACAGCTGGGACTACATCAAATTAAAGAGCTTCTGCACAGCAAAAGAGACAATCACAAAAACAAAGAGAAACCCCACCGACTGG